TAATGTTCTTCCTGGCTATTCTCCTGTGGACAGATTTTCTGCAGGAAAGCAACTGAGCAAGCATATTAAAAAAATCCATTCTCATCATCCCTTTTCACATCCCATCTCCCTCCAGGGCGCCTCCTCTCCTCCCATCACCTATCAACAAACAAACAGTTTGGCTCTAATTGCGAAGGACAAGTGTTGAAGTCGGGAGCTGAGGGCCCAGCGAGATGGATGGGCAGGGGGGGATGTTCTCCACACCGACATCGTGTCCCAGCACGGGGCGGGAACAGTCTGGGCTGATTTACTTTAGATTTGAGCTGGGAGTAAATTGGAAGACATGAATCATCTTGACGCAGACGCTCCGGAGATGGATTACCTGGCTTGGCAGCTTGTTCCTCTCTTTCCTCAGCCACGCTTCTCTCCCTTCAGTGAAGTTTCATTTCCCAGACACGGGAGGTTCCTGCTCCAAGCCTGTGCTCCAGAGGGCCTCATACCACTCTTCCAAGTGCTTCCATAGCCAGGCTGGACCAGCAGCTGCCAGAGTGATTCCCTTGGGTGATTCCCCCCGGCTGGGAGCTGGTGTGCCCCTCCAGACAAAGGCCTGGGGCTCCCTGCTTTTATCTGGCATCTCCAGACTGTCAGCCACAAATAGCTTTGGGCTGAAATAGTGTTACATTAGTTCTGTCTCCCATGTAAGCAGCTGCAAAGTGCTTCTGACCTCTTTCTGCCCAGGCTGCCGTGGTGTTCAGCACATCCCTTTCGAACTTCTTCCCCCCAGGAATCATCTCTTAAGACACAGAGCTGAGAGCAGCCACGTGCAAGGAGCAAGCTCCTGCCAGGGCTGGATGGCTACTGCCCCTTGTTGGCAAGTGGCTTTTGCCTCCTCCATCAGTCACCCTGTGGAAAGCAGAGCTGAAAGCACAAGGAATGATGCTGCTTCACATTTTATTCACCAGGCAGAGGGACTCTCTCCCACTGTGATCTCTGTGGCTCCAGCAAGGGGCAGTGCACCAAAGAGAAATGCTCAACTCGCTTGTGTGATGCTGCAAGGCAGGACTCAGCCCTGCTCTGGCCAAGCAGGCCTAAATCCTCAGTTAAATAAGGTCCCAACACCTTCCCACCTTACAGAATTCAGCACTTCACTCCACAAATTATGAGCTAAACAGGCAAATAAGCCCCATCCTGGTTCTGCAGTGATTGCTGCAATCAGAGCCCAGCTCAGGCTGGTTCCCAGGGACTGTAAATCCTGAACTCTGCAGGCACAGCCCCGGTTGATAGTGAGTGATTAGCTTTAATTCCACCTCTTCCTCTCTTTAAGACAGTTCATCTGGAGCCCCCACGGTGTTCCTCCCAGCTCTGCTGATCGTGGCCCTGCACTGGAGCAGCAGCCCCTGCCCTCCTGCTCCCGCTCAGCCACCTCCAGCCCCCTCCTTGCTTTCCTTCTTGTCTCCAGTTTAACTTCTGCTGGAGTTGATTTGTTCTTGGTGGGAGGGGATTTTGAAGCAGGAGGAAATCTGGGGAAGGAAGCAGCCCTCTCCTGAAGGGTCCCAGTTGAGCCCTCCACCCTGGGTGAGCTGCTGCTCCGGGGCAGGTACATTTTGGGACCTCTCCTGCCGCTCACAGCTGGGATTTCCCCCGCTGTCCCCTGAAGCTGCCATTCCCAGTCTGCCTTTGCCATTCCCCAGTGTTTCCACCTGGCCTTTGGGGCTCTGGGGCCCATCTGAGGAACATGAGGTAAGAAGCAGGTTTGTTTGCATTTATTTTTAAGACGAGTGGATTTTTGAGTGCAGCTTTGCTTCCTCCCTCCTCTGCATCCCCTTCTCCAGATCCCTTTGAACAAATCATTCCGTTTGCAGAGTCCTGTTGTTTAATTTTGCCGATTGCTGAGTCTCAACCTCCCATTAATTGCTTTTGCCCGCCTTTGTGCATTCCGTTAAATGAGAAAATGCCACACATAAAATTTTAATTTTGAAAGCCGCCTTGTTTGTTTTATATTCAAATTACCCACGCCGTGCCGGCCCGCAGAAACAGACGCTTTCTCATTTCATTAAAAACTCTTTGTGATGATAAAAAGCAGCAGAAATGAGATAAAAAGTGGTGTTTCCTTAAAGGCACATGAAAGTGAGAGAGATAAATGCCATGTATTGTAGGGATCAAATCCAGCACAAGGCTGCGAAGCGGCGATACCGGCGAGGAGGCTGCGCTGGCGGCAGTGCAGCAATAGCTCCTCTCCCAGGGCACTGTGGGCTCTGCCTGGCCTGGCCTCTGTCACCCACTGCTGCTGCCATCCCCTCTGTCACCCACTGCTGCTGCCATCCCCTCTGTCACCCACCACTGCTTCCATCAGGGACCTGCAGCGAAGCACCCGGGAGGCCTCCGGCTGTCTGTGTCTCCAGCCATGGATCCCTCCAGCCCTGTGTGTCCCCAGCCCTGCCGATGGCCAGCACGGTGAACCCATCACCACGTCCTCAGGTCAGTCCTGAAGCTGCCCTGGCACTGCACAGGTGGGAGGGGATCAGTGCCCAAAGTGAGAAGGGCAGAGAGGCCGTGTGCTGCTGGTGGGTGGGTACAGGGCAGAGGGACCAGCTCCCTCCTCTCCAGCCCCAGCTTTCAGACCTGGTGTGTGAGTACACATGGGGGATTTAAGCAGCTTCTCGGGAGGGACCCTCAGAAGGACTGAAGCCCTCAGCAGCCCCAACCACTCTCCAACAGCTGCTGGTCATGACAAAGCTCACTGTTAAGCAAACTTTGTGTCTTCCCTTGCTCTGGAGCAGATGTGACCACTGGGCACAGAGACCCACACAAAGGGGGCTGAGGCCCGTCGAGGCTCCTGTGCACTGGGAGTTGTTCACTGATCCCTTGGGTGCTCAGTGTTCCTATATTTATTCTGCTGAATGGGATCTGTAAATCAGCACAAATGAAGAACAAACTTCCAGCTTCAGACTTGATTGCTTCGCTTCTATTTTTTTCCTCATCCCTTAACATCAAAATGAGTTCTTTCTACTTGATTTTCAATATTCCTCAGCAGTTGCTGAATTGCTATTCAGTTTTACACAATTTTTCCACCCACTGCAGTTTTAAAGGTCATTTAATTATTATTACAAAGAATTACAAAAAGATAGCAAATTGTTTAAATGCCTTAAGCTGCATCAGGTTATTAGCATGGATTTTTTTACAGTCATGTTAAATGGATCAGTATTTACAGCTCAGGAGCCTTTGCATTGTGCTGTGTCACCCGGTGAGGCTCAGGGAGCAGGGCCAGCCCAGCAGCACTGCGGCAGGAGCTGCTCCACTGCTCCCTCCAAGAGTAGGAAACGACATTTCTTTGGGAATTTCAGACCCCTGATTCCCACAGCATCCCCCTCCAGGAAGCACCAGGGTGGCTCTGCAGACTCTGCCACAGGACCACGGGGATCGGGGCTGTGCAGGAGCAGCCTGGGAGGGTGATGACAGCAACATCCAGAAACTGAGGCTGCTGTCAGGGCACTGCCCCTCCTGAGGACTCAGAACAGGCTGCTGGGTCACTGCTCTTTGTGGTTCTCGAGGAGCTGTTTTCCCTTCATTTCATCAACACGTTAATGAGAGTCTCTGCTAAGGCAAACCTAAGTGGGAACCAAAATCCAGCCTCCTGTTTTCTTGAGAACACGTTTCCTACCAAAATGCAGTTACTGCTGGTAAAGAGGCAACATTCCACCTTCCCAGAAACACTGCATGGATCAAGAAGGAAGAGAAGGATGTGCTGCAAACAAGCAGGATCACAAACAGGGATGGGGGTGAGGCACACCAGATCCACCTCCTCCTCTCAGCAATCGGAACCTGTTGGTATTTACTGTAGAGAGTAAATTATAAACCAAAAGACAAGTTCTCATTTCTGCACATCAGATTGGACAGACAAGCCCAGCAATGAACTTGTCAGCAGGACTGAAGTGACATTACCCAGCCTTAGCCTCTCATTCACCTGCTCTCTGCATCACATCATCCTTCTCATCCCAAATGCTCATTCTGCAAAGATGAGACAATTAGTGGGAATATTGGATTAAACTGTAAACCCTCACTCAGGCCTCTAGGTGGAAGGCTGAGAAAGCAGATCTGATTCTTAGAAGAGGGGGAAAACTCCCAAAGAGAAAAACTAAAATGCAATCACTCCTTAGCCCCTTTTCCTTGGTGTCAGCTGTGAATCAGGTGTGTGGGCTTGGAGGATGTTGAGGGCTGGCAAGGTCTTAACTGAAACCATCTGACAAACAGACCTCAGATCCCACTTGCTAAATATTGTGTCTCATGAGTCTCCGCTCCAGAAGCTGTTTTGCAATAAATGCATCACTCCTGCGCACGGTTGAGTAAAAGTGGAAAGACAGGCTGGGGCCGGGCTGGGCTCTCCCACCGTGCCACAGCAGCAGGACTGGGATTGGGGCTGGGGGTGGCAGGGACCGAGTGCCGGCCAGAGCACCCTGAGCGTGGTGCTGTGCCAGAGGAGCTCCCTGTGGCCCGGGCACCACACGAGTCCCCACTGCCCAGGAGCAGGCAGAGCTCGGCCCTGCTCCAGCCCCACGCCTGGCGCTGGGGAAATCCCCAGCCAAAGGGAGCGAAAGCACGGTCTTGCCTCACTCTGCTGGGCTGCTCTGATAGCAGTGGGGCAGAGGGAGAGGCCGGTCCTGGTTGCTGTGCTGCGTCCTGTGCGTTGCACAACTGCTGCACGGTGTGCTGCCCTCGGCACCTGACTGCTCAGTCCTTGGCCATGCTCGTGGGCATCCTCCAGGCATTGGGGAGCGACCTTTCCCCTGATGTGTGGGGCAGCGAACACCTTGTCCAGTCGTTGCCTGAGCAGGTAGGAACACCTTCTGGCCCCTGCCTGCCACCACACTGACACCTCCTGAGTCATATCAGATCGCCTGTGACATCACGGGAGCCGAGCGGAGCTCTGGCTGTTTGTCTTTCTGCCCCGCTGACACACATCCGTCCCGGGGGGCGGGGGGAGCCGGCGCTGCCCCACATTGCGCAGCAGGCGGGGGTGGCAGGGCCAGCACGGCCCCCACACCGACACAGCCCCTGCCCGGGTCCGCGCTGACCCCGCGCCCCTCCCGGGAGAAGGAGGAAATGAGTTTCCTGACCGGCAATGTGTGCTCAGAGCCAGGACCTCCCTTTCCTAACAGAAGCATTGGGGAAAACCAGCCTGTATCCCCAGGGATTCGTGATGAGCCCACTTAGCTTTGGGAAGCTGTCCAGGACTTAACCCTTGGGTTTGGAACTTCAGCAGGGCTCATGAGGGGAAGACTGGAGATGTCCTTCCCTAACCTCCTGGGTGCCCAGAGCAAACACTCCTGCTCTGCTTTCAGTTCCTTAGAACAAAAACTGCTTCCCAGATGGATGTGACTTCTCAAGAGGTATTTGCTTAGCAATAGGCATAAATCTTCTGCTCTTCACATTGCTCAGGGTGGGATAAAATATTCTGTGACTGTCTATTTAAACATCTTACGTTAATACCATGAAGTGTTTGTTCGACTTCTATTATTCTTTTAGCTCTGAAGTAGCAAATGCTCCCAGGCATGTCAGAGTACAGCAAATCCATGGCTGCAGACACTGCATCCAAACTAAACTGGGGCTGAGCAGGCAGGGATGTTTTTGGATAAGGGGCCTGCTGACATTTTCCGGCAGAGAGGCTGTGGCTGGGAAGGGCTCAGCAAAACTGTAAATGTTGTTGCCACAGACACTTGCGCAACTGCTCGGTTTTTCCCACCATCATTTATTACTTCAGTCTGTTGCTTCTCTCTCCTCTTGAGCCAGCTGAGGGAAACCCGAGGTTGCCCGGTGAGCCAGGAGCACAGCTTTGGAACAGAGAAGGGGTTGCCAGAGTGCGGATGCTCTGAGTGCTGCTGTTTGACACGAGGTGAGCACAGAGGAGAGGAATCACCAGATATTAAATCCCTTATTCATCCTGGGCAGGGACAGGAGGACTTTGGTGCAGGGGTCTGGGGGAACCACTTTCTCAGGCCCAGTCAAGACCCCGTGCAGCCCTTGGGACACCCTGGATGATGGTGAGGCTTCTGCTGCCTCCGTCACTTCAGCTCTCAGCAATAACAGGTTTATAGCCCAAAAACCCCCAGGAGGTTGGTTCTTTTCCTTGACGAAAGCACAACAGAAAAAAAATTGTCAGGGTGTGCCCAATCCATCTGTCACTGAGGAAATAAGCCCGTCCTATAACTTAATGCCATCAATCACTAAGACCAAAGGTAGAGATCAAGGCTGCTTACTTGGAGGAGTACCTAAGGCCGTGTCTAGTCAGGAACACAGTGACAGCCAAATAAATTTCCCTGGTGTGGTCCCTCAGGAGCCTGTGCACTCCTCCAGAGCTCAGAAACATGCCTGCTCCGCTAGGAGCCCTCAGGCTATGTAGGGAGTATGTTACTCTGCAGAGCACTTACGAGGATCTCCTTAAAAGCCAGGGAAAAAGTTCAAGATAGAATGTTTCAGAGAAAAACCCATCTACTTGTCTGCAGCTGCACAAGAATCCCAGACTGGTGGGTGAAGGCCGTGCTGGCAGGACCATGAGCAGAGTGATGGGGACTGCGGGCACATGGGCTCAAAACACGAGCTCTGCATCCTCGGTGAGCTTCTCCTCTAGTCCTCGCTTGGTACGTTTTCTTTCTTTCTGAGGAGACCTCAGCTCCCTTTTCTCCTCTGGCATCACTCTGGCAGGTATCACTGGGGAGGCTGGGAGCTCCTGCCCAACGTGTGTGCAGGAGTGACCTTCCCCCCGGTGCCTCCGCCGGGCACCCGTCCAACCCGGGGCGATGCTCGGCTGATGGGATCTGCCTTGGGCAGCTCACCACGAGGCTGCCTCAGAGACGTCTCTGTCGAGGCCAGCCAGAGCAGCAGATGGTCTCTCAGGCAGCATCTCCATGAACCTGAGTGGTTGTGCTGTGAAAACAAACTGCCATAAGCGGATGTTGCTCAGCTTTGCTTCCGGCATTGCTGCTCAACTTTCCTCATGAGGAATGGTGACCCTCTCCAAAGAAAGGGCATAAATCATCACTTGGTTTTTCCTTTAACTCCTGGATATGCTGAGTCCTGTGTAATAAATTATATTGCTCACTGTAAAAGAAAATCCAGAGGCAGCTCTGCCAGCCTCTTGAATCCCTGAGTTGCAGGATTCAGTTCATCCCCAGGAACACATTGGTTAATGCAGTGAGATGAGCCATCAGGTTGCTCCACAGATGAGCAAGGCATTTAGGACACCAAAGCTGTTGGGAACACATGGATCCCAAGGCAGCCATCCCAGCCCTGTCCCCTCCCAGAGAGGCTGAGGCATGAGCTCAGCTTGGAGCAGGTACTTGAGCAGGTACCTCACTGCTCAGGGCTTGTCTGCACAGGATTCTTAAGAAAGTTAAATTGAAGCAACTAAATCTAAAGTAGAGCATTAAAATTCTGTATAAAACTCATTCAGAATTAAAGTGGCCTTAATTCTGTTTAGTTTAGTCCCAAATGTTACTATATAAGGCCATTTAAATTATCTTTAATTAACATAATGGTCCCACATAGGCCATTATAAATGAGGTTTAATTAGCCCATTTTTAGAAGCGAGTTAGCTGCCTTGAGCTTCCACAGGAACGCAGCCAGGGCCACTTTGCTGACGGGGCTCCTGGTTGAGGCTGGTTAGCAGGAGTTTCATGGCACTGGCATGTCTTCCCAAGGAACTGGCACGAGGTCAGCTTCCTCCCCGCCAGCAGATAATAAGATTCTTGAATATCACCTATTTTGACTGTGTTAAATGTACGAGTGGGAGATGAAAGGCTTTGCCAGGGGACGAGCTCTTCCTTTAAAATCTGGGACATGGGAGTGGTAATCCTTAGAAAAATCCCTAGAAAAATGTGATGTCAGGATTTTATGAGACTTGTTCAGGAGCAAGGAACCAGGCTGGAGAAAAGCTGACACTGAGTCAGCAGAGAAGTGGATGGAGATGGAGGACTGGGAGGGACTGAGCCCATCCCTGGGACAGGGCTCCTCCTGTCACAGACCACCTCACTGTCCCCACTGCCTCTGGATGCTTTGGTTCATTTTTTACTTACTGGAATTCTCAGCTCAGGAGGATGAGATGCTGCTGCCCTTGATGCCCACCCTGAGGGCATCCAGCCTGGGTCTCACAGGCTCCTCCCTGGAACAGCCCTGTGTTCTCTTGGGCTGTGCTGGGGATTTCCACCTCTTTTCTTGTGGTCTCAGAGGCCTCGGAGGCACAAGCCCCGCTCAGCAGCCTGGCAGTGCCGGCTGATGGTCCATCCTGCCACAGAAAGGGGCAGTACAGCTGCCCAACAACGGGCACAGCACTGGCTGGAAAGAGCAGAGTCTCGTGCCTTGCACGTGGTGGTGAATGGCATTGGCACCTCTGTGATTCCAGCAGAGGCTTTGTCCTGGGAATCTCCATGTCCTCAGAAGCTGCAGCCTCCACCACTGCCCTTGCAGTGACAAAAAGAGCAGCACTTTCTGTTCAAGGTAGTTTGCAGACTCATGTGCCTGCTGTCACTGCTTTGCATAAATCAGGAGATCCAGCTTTGGGGTATTTCCTATGAGAAGCACATCTGTGGCCACACTTTCTGGTGCAATAGACTTTAGCCTGGAAGCAAAAGCACACAAACAATGCTAAATTCATGCTGACTGGAGTAGATTCCAAGGGAAAGAAGAGTTGGGAAAGCACCTACTTAAGAACTGAGTAAGGATATTATCGCTGATCTGAATCTCACTCTGTGTGTGTTACTGTTGAGTACACAGTGCGGTTTCAGACACGGCCAGAGACAAGGAAAAATGATTGTTTCGGGGTAACCACAAGGAAGATGAATGCAAATGTATTCCTGTAACTGGGAGAGTTCCTCACTCCCGAGTTGGGCTCTGGTACATGGCCCTAGGGAAGCAAATTTGCAACTACCTTCATTAAATTGTTTAGGGATGATTAATCAGAAGTCAGAGATGTGAAATTTTTGCACGTTGTGCAATGTTGGTTCAATCCCTGCAGTTCCACGCAGTCTGCAGGGGTGGTTTAGCGCCTGGCAGGGGACAGGTACTGGCAGGTGACAGACGCTTCCTGCCAGCGCTTATCTCCTCCACACGCCCGGCTTGATAAGCTGCTACTGGCTGAATCACGGCCACCTGCACCACCGGGATCCAAGTGGTGCAAGGGACGTGTGGCAGAGACTCGGTCCCCTCGAAGTGCATGGCTGGGGTGTGGCCCGTGCAGGCACCCTCAGGGCAGAGATGCTGCCACCACCCCGTGCTCTGCATGTCCATCATCAGGTCACTGGCTCTCCGCTGTCACCATATGCTGTGTCCACACACTGGTGGCTGGAACTGCAGCTCACACAGAACATAAAACCCCACAAAGCCCCATTGCCGACATGACCGAAGCTCGTGGCTGTCACATTCCTTCTGCTGTGCTCAAGGGGCCTGTGTGTCCCCAGGGGCCCTCAGGGCTGCGGGACTGTCCTTGCACCCGATCCCAGCCGCTGTCCCAGCCCCTGTCCCAGCTCCCCCTCCAGGGTCAGCTCGTGGGCCTGGGCCTTGTTCTCCTGACAGCTCCAGACACCCACCCCAGTGAGGGGCAGCGGGGCAGCCCCGCCTGCCCCACACACCCCACAGGGGCAGGGAACCCTCCCTTGGGAAGCACCACACGTGTGTTCAGAGCTCCGGGACTGCGTTAGCGTGTGACACCCACCCCCGGCAGGGACGGTGGGACTGAGAAAGGGCCAGGAACGGAATTTCCATGTTTTAACGTTTGTAACCAAGAGCTGGGAAATCCTCTGGGGGACCAGCTCTTGTGCCCCAGGACCGCCTGGGCTGGCTCGGGGCCCTGCGGGTCCCTCGGGGGGTCACGGGCGGCCCGGGAAGCAGAAGGGCACATTTCCCTACGGAGCTGCCCTG